GTTAGCCTCTGCTGTCATTAATTGCACAGGCCCACTTTCTTCCCATGACCCGTCTGAAATACAGACTTGGCACTTATTCATCCCGAGCCAATCAACTGGTTTATTTATATGAGACAAATATTTGGGCCAGAGTGTTTTCTTTTAAGGGAAGGTGGGGCAGGAGATCACAACACTGGGGGGGGGGGACTTCCACCCAGAGATTATCTTTGCTTTCTCACATGAAGTAAAGCAGCACACGGTACCCTCAGATTACAAGGGGAGGCAACAAGGAGGAAGTGCAGACTCAAGGTATTTCAGCTCCAGGATAATCGGAGCCTCTTCTGTACCTGGCTCAGCTAAGTCACTCCCTAAACATTTATTGAATAATTTAATTAGTCATACAGATTTTATCCCTTCCTCATCTATTACATATATCCCTCTAGGCACATATACATGCACACAACACACACACACATGCATGCATGCACACATACATACTCACACGCACACGCACACACAGCTGGTTCAATTATCAGTGACATCTCCAGGAAAAGAACCCAGAATTCGGACAAAGACAGCAGGTGGGACGTATATTCATGGAAGAAATAGCTCCATTTTTCTCCACAGATATGAACCCCCTGGACTCAGAGTTCTCCCCAGCCCATGTTCTTTGCTTACTCAAGGACACAGTCTCTGGACTTCAGTCCTTATGACCTTGCATGGGTGGCCAGGATCTGCACCTCCTTTGGCTTAAATTTCAGACTCTTTGTGCAGAAAGGGATGGTGGTGCAGGGGGTGGGAATGGTTCCTGGAGGTCCTCTGCAGCTGCTCCCAGCTGCCACAAAATGCAGAGTTCTCCCGGAAGCCAGAAGTTGCTCTGCTAAGTTGACTCTCTAGTGGCCTCGAAAAATAAAGCCATGACCATGAAAGGTTAAAACTTTCACATTTTGATGAAGTCAGGAGAACGCTAACTCCGAAACTCCAAGCTGAGTAATCGTCTATCTTTACTGTATGCTATAATGTGATAGTCTTTTCTGCTTAAACGGTCTCGACTTGCTAATGAAGGGAATTAAAATGTGGGACGTGCTAGCACCAGAGACAGCATAAAGAATGCTTCCTATTATGGCCCAAATAAAGATATAGGGTGTTAGAGGAGCCACATATAAACATGTGTGTTTCTGCGGATGTGTGGATGGATAAACAGATACAGAACAGACAGATGCATAGCAGGCCCTCTGTATCTACAGGTTGTACTTCCAGAGACTCAGCCAACTGTGTATGAAAACATGCAGAAAACATTACATCTGGGTTGAACATGTCCTGACTTTTTTTCTGTTATTGTTCCCTAGACATTACTGTAGCGGCTCTGTACATAAAACTTGCATTGCATCACGCATTATAAATGATGTACACATGATTTAAAGTGCAGAGGAGGATGTTATAAGTTATGTGCAAATACGGTACCATTCATAGGACAAACTTGAGCGTCTGAAAAGTGTGACGCTTACCAGGGGATGGGACCAATGCCCCACAGACACCAAAGGAGGAGTGTATATAAGCATGAATATGTACATGTATGATTTATTTAAATAATTTACAGATATACATCCTTTGTCCCAGTAGAGAAAATGGAATACACTTTCTCTGCAGATGTGATAAACAAGCAGGGACAAGGCTCCTCTCATTCAGTTCAAAGTTCACCTGCCCTTGAACTGCAATAGCGGCCACTGGTTTTGACTCCCAGTAAAGATCTCTGCATTTTGGAGAGAGTGGAGTTATTTCCACTCGCCTTTATGATCATACCACTCGTGGAATGGAAACAGATACAGTTCGCTTTGAACGACCGCTGTCACGTGGCGTGCAAGCCGCAGACATTTGTTGCACTGATAGCATGTCTGCTAAATTAAGTCGTGAGGAATGCTTTTCAAACCCAACAGGGTGGAGTTTCATACCCAGAATCCTCCACTGGAGTGTCCTGCGTTGTTAGGAACAAGCCTCCACACACAAAAAAACATTGCCAGGAGACTTGTTGAGACAGCAAAGGCTTTAAATCAATAAGAAGAACCTCCTGTTTAGATGTTGAATAACACATTTCATTTGCTTTACTATATTTTTTTTTCAAAGATGGACTTATACTCTATGCTGGAAACACAGCTTATGTTTTATATTCTTCTCAGTGATGAAAATATATAGAAACATCTCATCAACAAGAGTTTCTAAGTCTCAAACTGCCTCTCTGAGAGATTTCTTCAAACTTCCTAAGAGCAAGTTTTCTCCCTTCATGAGGACAGTAGGGGGCACTGCCACAGCAAACTGTTAAACATTTGAGAGAGAGAGAGAGAGAGAGAGAGAGAGAGAGAGAGAGAGAAAGAGAAAGAGAGAGACAGAGAGGAAAGATAAAAAGAAAGAAGAAACAAAAAGAAAAAGGTAAGGAAGGATAGAAGGAAGGGAGAAAAAAAGATGAAAGAAATAGAGAGAAATAAAGGATGAAAGGAAAAGAAAGAAAGAAAGAAAGAAAGAAGAAAGCAAGGGAAGAAAGAAAGAAGCAGAGACTAGACATCTTTTTTATTTTCCCCATGACAATAAGCATCTAAAAATAAATATATATTACCCATATTTTTCTCTTCCCTAATTTTCTTCTCTTTAATTTTTTAATAGAAAGTTTGTTTTTGTTTTGTTTTGTTTTGTTTTTCCTCTGCGTGTGTATATGTGTCTGTTTGTGTAGTGTGTCCATGTCTGTGTGTCTGTGTACCTGTGTGCCTGTGTGTGTGTGTGGTCTTAAATATGTGGTAGAAATTCTCTATTGCAGGTTTGGAGCAATTTAGAAAGGTCTACTCAGATCCTTGTTCTATATATTAGGTAGATATAAGTAGCCAAAATGCACAGTAACTTCAAGTTATTCTGTGTGGGATTTTCTCATATAGAGAGTTAAGTCTTCAGTCTTTCTCATGAACATCAAACTCCAAGTCCAGAGTCAAGAAGAAAAAGGACTATGGGGGAAATTTCATTAAATAATCCCATAATCCAGGCTCCACAGGTTGTTGCTTTTTTTTAATGAGTTTTTCATATTACTCGGTGAGCTTAAATTTATGCATTCAATAAAAAAAAAACACTCACCGTGAATGTTAAAACAAAGACATTGTTCCGACACTTGGAAAATTAAATTCACCAAACCATGAAGTCTACTGTGCAGTTATTTTTGTAACCGCCATAAATTGCTTTTTAGAACTCCTCTGCTGGGGGGTAAACAACCCGAGGAGATCTCCTTCATAGCTTACCACCAGTTTCCAAAGGCCAGGGCAGCCTCAAAGTTTATGACTTTTGCTTTTCATTCTTTCCCTACTCTTTTTTTTTTTTAAGTACTTGTGTTTTTAGTTACCTTGAAACCTTCCTGCTTCTACACGATTTCAGAAAGTTCCACAGAAAATCAGATCCAGGTCTGTGGATATACTGTGCCCTCAAAAATACGGTGCTGGAATAAGAAGAAACAATCCTACCTTGTGGAAATAAAGTTTATAGAGCAAAACGAAAATAAAGGAGGTCAGTACTAAATATTTCACCGTCTTTAATAGGACCTCAGAGCCTGCGGCTGGCCTAGAAATCTCAGACTGATGGCTTGAAACGCGCCCCCCCCCCCAGCACTGTACGAGGCCCAATTCAATTCGAGAGGCTATAGATAAGAGCGTTAGGGTGTTTAGCCTTTCCTTTCCCGTGTCCTTGAGGAATAGCACAGAACGGCCTTTGTGTTCAGAAGAAGGACCTGTTGTCCAGATTCAACAGGTCAGTTTTTAAGAACTTCCAGAGGGTACAAGGTAAATGGCGGAAGCGTGGGCAGGGGGAGGTTTTTAAGTGGCTGATGGTTTTAAATGATATATATTCGCTATCAGGGAAGGCTGATTGTTTTTCTTTCCAGTGAATGGAAAGCTGCTGTTTTTAGAAGTGTTTAATGTTTGAATCCGATTTTTTTTAGGACTAAACTATAAATTCAGCTCCTGAAATCGATCTGAACGTGTTCTTGACCCTACACGCAAATACACTCGTCACATCACGCCCGTCTCTGTTTTATGAATGGTTCCTTCGCTGTCTCTCAATTGTGTCATAACTTTTCTAATATTGTTTCAGTTATAATGAGAATGAATGTTTTATGAACAGGCTGAACTTTATAAAATGGGAAAATTCTAACCATATGATTTTTCCTTGAACTTGGAGGGCGGGGGTGGGGATGATGAGTATTTTTTTTTTTTTCACCGCAAACTCAATCCAGGCCACGCTAGAGTTTATTAGAGTTTGGCTAACTCTTATAGGTGATCTGGATTTGACACTGGCGAATAAGCTTCCCTTGCTTTTTCCACCATTCTTTTTATATCTATATATAAACTTCTTTTCCCTTTTAAATTAGCTATCTTATTTGTAAAGATAATTGTTCAGAGCTCTTTGGAAAAGTTTCTGTCAGGCCAATGGTATTACCAAGGAAATGTTTTTTTTAAAAACTCAACGACTGGTTGCTGGCACTTGCTGGGACATAGATTATCGGAACTACATGGACTCCCGGCACTTGACACTTTTACTAAGTCTCTATATGACTTACCACTTTGGACAACTATCTGGCAAAGGGTCAAGGCAAATAAATACCGGGGCAAATACCGTGTTAACCACAGGGAATTACCCTCAAAGATAAAGGAACAGAAAGAGGCTTCCTTTAGTGGGAGAACCCAGTAATGATGAACAGGTTTCTGACTTTAAAGCAAACTCTCTCGAGTCTTTCTTTTTCTTTTCGTTCATCTGAATACAAGGGCGACTTCAAGGGGCAGGCTGTTTGCGGGGAAAGGGATTCTTGAGGATTAAAATGAAGACAACCCCCTTTCCTCTCTCAATCTGCCTTTCTCAAAGGAGAAGGGAGGAATGAGAGCCCTAGTAGGGGACAGCTACTTCTTCCCCTTTGCCGCCCCTCCCAAGCCTCCCCCTCTGCCCTTCTGCTCAGTCTGCTCTCAGAAATACCCATGGGGGTTCCCCGCGCTCACCGGTACCAGGCGAGGCCCTTGTGGTAGCTGCGGTCGAAGAAGTGAGGCTCGGCGCCCACGGCGCGCACGTCGGGGTGCACGCGCAGGAACTCCAGCAGCGCCCTCGTGCCGCCCTTCTTCACGCCGATGATGATGGCCTGCGGCAGCTGCTTGCTACCCTCGTCCAGGAGTAGGGCCAGGGTCCCGGACTGGGCCTCCGCCACGCTGCTTCCCGCCCCGGAGCCTCCTGGAGCTGCGGTCAGCCCAGGGCTCTGCTCATCCTGGTCGCCGCTGTCTCCTGGCCCGGGCCGCCCGCGTCTCCGCCGTTGCCGCAGCTGCAGGAGGCGCTTCCTTTGCGCCCCCGCCGGCCACGCCGCCAGCTCCCTCGGTCCTGCAGAGACGCCGCTCCCCGGGACCCCCGCGACGGGGCCTGACCCGGGCTGGCAGCGCTCGGCCAGGCAGTAGAAGACGTAGAGGGAAGTGAGTAGCGAGCAGAGCATCAGCAAGAACTTCCTGAAGATGCTGCGCGACAGTGGCTCAGCCTGGCCTGGCTGGGCACCGGCGGGGCCCAAGGGGGCCATCCTAGCCGCAGGCGACTGACGACGGGCGGGCCATGCTAGGCCGGGACTGCACCAGGAGCCCTGCCATCCCGCTCGCTGCCCTGAGGCCACATCGCCCGAGCGCCCCTGCCTGCGGGAGAGGTGCCCCGCGGAGTGGCGACCAGAGCTGGAGCGGGGACCAGAAGCTGCCCGCGAGCCCTTCTCGGGGTCCCGAGCTCCGGACGAAGGGGCAGAAAGGGGTTCGGGGCCGTGCTTAAGAAACCATCGTCTCGGGTCTGAAATGTGCTCGTGTCCTGAGCCTAGCTGGGCAGAGCTCGGCGCCCCGGGTCCCCGAGAGTCGCCGGACAAGGCAGTCTCTGCGGCGGGCAGCGGTGGCGAAGGCGCTGGGCTCAGCAGGGTTCCTGAGCGGCCACTCGGTGCGGATCTCGGCTCAGCGACCCTGCATTCTTGGCTCGGTCCCTGTGGAGGGGACGCGGGGCTCCTGGTCCGCAGAGCTGTGTGCGCTCCGGACAAAGCGAGTGACCCTTTTCCCGGCCGCTGGCTGTTCTGCTTTCCTGGCCCTCCCAGGAGCGCGCTCAGAGTCCTGGCTCAGATGGTCTCAGCACGGAGCCAAGTCCCCCTTAGCCCCTCGGTCTGAGTGGAACTCGAACCTTCTGGCCTCTCGGGGCTCTCCGGAAGTCTACCCACTCCTCTGGGACTCCAGCCGGGAGCCGCCTGGAGTGGACCCTCTGCTCGGGACCTGTCAGTGGTCGCTGCCACTGTGCTCCTAGACGCTCCCTGCAGCCTCCTTGGCCGCTACCGCCACACGTGGGACGCGAAGGACAGCAAACTTGGTGGTGACGTCAATGGCCCAGGCCAGACCAACCCAGGGATCCGCGCCGGGGTGCCGAGCAGAAGCTCACGGCCCCGCTAGAGGGGCCAGAGGGGTGGGACCGAATTAAAAAATGAAAAAAAGGCGGTGGTGAGGCACCGCCCAGTACATTGGGGAGGGCGCGGGGGGGGGGGACAGAGGCGACGCCCCTTCCCCACAGTCCCCTTTTCTCTACCCCCCTCCCCCAGGTCTCTGAGCTGCTGACAACTGAAAGTTAGGGCCTCTGCTTGCTTGGATCTGATGCCCACCCTGCCAGCCCCTCGCCGGATTAGGGATTCCCAAGTCTTTCCAGCTCAGTTTAGCCCTTAGCAGTCTTGACGCTCCCCAGATCCCAGTTCCTGTTTCCTCTTGTCCCAGCTTTCGCATCCCAATTCCTTTCCAGCTCACCCATTCCCATCCCCTCCTTCTCATCCCAGAGATTTGAGAAGTTTTGTTTTCAGGAGTTCTTGGCGGCTCCGGCAGGCCACGCCCCCCGATTTGTCTGGGCCAGGAGAATTCTTCAGGGTAGATTTGACTTCTACTTCACTGTCCACCTAGAGCCCTTGACAAACCCCTAGAAAGGAACCCCTTAGGAAAGAGATCAATAAATAAATCAAAAGTAGAAATTAAGATTTTTTTAAATGTGAATCTGATTCCAAATCCATATGCCCAGTTATTGGTAAAGTTCACTACTTTGCGTGTGTGCACCATTGCGGTAAGTGAGGCTGTGTTTGCACTCTTCGAGGCTTAAGAATCCTTTCATAAACAGTGATTTCCTCTTCCTGTTATTTCCCCTGATTCTGGATACCCTTCCTGTGGCCCCAGAGCTGGTCACACAGGGGTAAAATCTGCCCCTCGCTGGCTCCTGGGAAGGTGGTCAGTAGAATCTGCAGATGTTGGGTGCTTCATTGTTTTCTTTGGGATCACTCTGTGGGGATTTTGTTTTTCAATGTTATTCTTTTTTTTTTTTTATTTTATGTGTATGCCTGTTCTGCCTGCATGAGTGTCTATGTACCACCTGAGTGTCTGGTGCCAACTGGAGGGTGCTGGATCTCTTTGAACTGGAGTTACAGACGTTTGTGAGCCTAAATGTGGGTGCTGGGAATTTCACCCAGGTCCTCTAGAAGAGCAGCCAGGGCTCTTAGCTGCCGAGCCATCTCTTCAGTTCCCAGATATTTCGCTTTTGTTCCAGTCTTAATGTTTCCTTATGTCTGGCTGTCTCCTCAAAGGCCCTGGTCACTTTATTCCTATCCATGTGTAGACATTTTTCTGCTCCAACCCTATCCCCCAGTTACCATGAAGATACCTCATTAGGAATTCTGGCTGCCCAGCCTTGACACTCAGATTTTCTCTTCTCTTCCTGCCTGTACCCCATTGGACCATGGAAGTGGAAGTTAGGGGGTTGCCTGTCAGTCTCCACAGGGGTGCTACTGATTCTAAGTTTGCTTGGTTAGAAGTGGATCGTGTGTGGCCTGCTGGCTAAAAAGTCACAGGTGGGTATGGTCTTGTGTTCATAAACTACCAAACAGTTGATTCTACAGCCAGTGAAGAACTGGGTAGATTCTAGGGCCAGGAAATGCTGGCCTTTGCCCATGATGAGCAACAAACCCTGCCAACTTTCCATGTCCTATTATGTCTGAAAATTGGGTATTGACAAACCACTTTGAAGTTTAATACTGACTGAAGGTTTAATTTATTTCGAAACTTTCCTCAGTGCGTTTCAGTCTGGCTTGTAGAAGGAAGGCAACAAAAACAGTGGCCATTTAAACGTTGTTCTGAAAGCAAGTAGTTTCACCGTCACCAGAACATCTGTTTTCTCATCTGGAATGCATTGGGCTCCGAGTTCACCTGTAGCTCATCATGAAGTGATATTCTACCTGTATATCCCTCTGTGAGCATTAATGGTGTGGTCCCAAGCCCCCAGACTTCCCAGCATCCAGACGCATAAACTGAACAAATGTCTATTGTACATATTGGCCCAGTCTGTGGTACTATTAACAGTGGAAAAGGACTACCAGTCCTTCTTTCTTCTTCTTTTCTTAATCCAAGTCTTTGGAGGTAGTGTGTGTTCTCTTCTTACATGCCTTAACTGAAGCCACATTACAGATGCTTTCACGCGCAGCTTGTGACTACTCAAGTAGCTGCTTAGATGCCAGTGCTGTTTCAGAGGAGGAAGACCCCTATAGGGTTTCAACTGCAGCCGGGCACCCGCAGTCCAATACAGAGAACTCCTAGAAGCTTTATCAACAAAAACATCTGCTTATAGAGAAGCAACAGCGACAGTACCCACGTATATCACAGGACTCCTGGGTTAGCGGCCTCATAGCGACTAAGTTTACATCTACAGAAGTGAGACAGATCAGCATAGAGCAGGGATTGTTGTCGGCAGGAATATCTACATAGAAAAGCACCACACCTTGGTGTTTGGGCAAAGCTGGCCCAAGTTGACCTCCTAGGGAAGGAACCAGAGAAAGACGCGTGTGGTGGTGGTGGTGGTGGTGTGGTGTGTGTGTGTGTGTGTGTGTGTGTGTGTGTGTGTGTGTGTGTAGAAATAAACAGATGATAGATAATACAGAAAGCATTGCTGCAGACTTTTTTTTTTAACCTGTCCCTTGCTTGTCCCCATCTGTATCCCTGACATCATCTGGAACATCTGGAATCAGCAACACCCTACCAGACTAGCCAACGCAGAAGTCAGAGAGCTCAGGAGCTGGCTGGTATCATGTATCCAGGTCAGGCCCTGAAGCAGGAACAAGAGATAATGCAAAAAGACTGAGTACCACCTGGGGGAAAACATGGGTTTTATGAGCTTATACTCCTTTAAAAAAAAAAAAAGATTATTTATTATGCACACAGGTTTCTGCCTGCATGTGTGATTGCAGGCCAGAAGAGGGCACCAGATCTCATTACAGATGATTTGTGAGCCACCATGTGGATGCTGGGAATTGAACTCAGGACCTCTGGAAGAGCAGTCTTTTAACCACTGAGCCGTCTCTCCAGCCCTAAGCCTACACTCTTAATGAAACAAAATCTTTGACCATGCTCATCAGAATATAACATTATTTCCAACAAATACCAGATTATATGTTCCACATTCAGTCCCGGATGGCCCTTCTTATTCTCTCAAGGCATGCAGTGTTCGCTTCTAATATCCTGCAGATTCCAGTTCAAAAGTTATCTTTAAGATTACTTCTTTGGTTTGATGAAAACTTCTGGTTCAGAACCTGCAGTGACATTTTGTTTAAGGTTTAACAAATAACTTGCCTGAAGATGAGAGTACAGAGCTAAGACACTAGAGGTCAGGGAGTGGTGGCATATATCTTTAATTCCAGAACTCAGGAGACAGAGGCAGAGGGATCTATGATAGTTCAAGGCCACCCTGGGCTGCACAAGATTGAATCTGTCTAAAAGAGAAACAGAGCTCACACAAAGGTGATTCCAACACTTAGGATCCCATGCCTTTAACCCCAGCACTAGGGAGGTGGAGACAGGAGTGATATGGCTGGTTGGAGAGAAAAATATAAGGAAGAAGCAAACAGGGGCTCAGAAAAGTCTGAGGTTTGGTAGAGACGATGGAGTCTGGAGATGCAGTTTGAGGACAGGAATGCCCCATTGGCCTGAGCAATGGTAGAGGTAAAAGAACTCTCTAGTGACTGGCCACTCTGTTTCTCCGATCTTCAGCATTAACCCCTCTATCTGACCCTGGGTTTTATTACTAAGCCCAACTAGAATTCATGGTACAAGAACCTCAGAAGGAAGCATAGTTACACAGAGGTCTGACCACCTACGCTTTCTGGCTTCCTACTATAAACACCTCTAGTAAATACCTCTTGCTGCTCACTGGTGCACCTAAAAGATCAACATATTTCCCACACAAGGATGTGCCCTGGAGAGATGCGCTGCATGAGCCAGTGAGTCAAGAGAGGAGCTGGAAGATGGGGTTGGGGGAGTTTCAGTGAGAGAGAAAAAATACCCGAGGGACCAGAAGGGCAGCACTGTGTGGTAGAGCCCATGTTTCGGTTGGAATAAACTATGTAATTGGCCTGGGGAAGGTGTTGATGAGAGCTAGAGATCACAAGAAATGAGGGGAGACAGAAAGCAGATTTTGAATACCTTGTGTGATTTTTACAAGAAATCCATCATGATAGGACATCTGTGAAGATGTTCACACTGCTTTTGCCTTTGTAGTGGGCTCTTTCTTTTACCAAGTCAAGACAGTGAAGTATGCTGGTGGAGTGAGCATCTTTATCACAGACATCCTGTGATTTACTCGAAATGAAAGGAGGGTGGAGGAGGTCATAGATTTCATAACAAATGCTGGAGGAATTTGGGTGGGGGGACAGGACTGTATTTTGAGTGACAGAAGTAAGCATAGAGACCCAAAGGCAGTCAATAAATATCTGCTAGCTGACTATCCATAATCAAAATATCTTGTGGTTTTTGTTTGCTTATTTTTTCTCCTTGCTTTAAGAAAGCATTTCTATTACCTCTTAACTTTAGAAAGTTCCCCAGAAGCAGACAGTTCACTTTTTCATCTTCCTGCTTTGTCCTATTGTCTCCTTTCTCTCCCTCCGGTTTATACCTCACTCCTAAGCACAGAGAGACGGAGCTAAATTCTTTTTTTCTGGGTACTTTCATCCAATAGTTCTGTCTCCGTCGTTTCTGCCTTTAGAGACCTGCATTAGTACTTGATTTCCAGAAGCCATCTTTTAGAGCAAACAAAGACTATGGGCAAGAAATTACTAAAGACCTTACAAGGTTTCCCTCCTCCCGTGTGGTATGAGAAGCAAGGGAAATCCCAACTTTAGGCATCGTTGGGCTGTGTGAGTCGGGAAAAAAATATACACTTAATCATTCATGTGGGTGCTCCATTCTGCTGCTATAACCGAATACCTGAGTCTATAAGGGAAGTTTTTCTCCCCTATAGTCCCAGAGGCTGGGAGGTCCAAGGGAGGGGCCCTCTCATGAAAACCTGAATTACTGGTGGATCCCTGGGCTAGGCTGGACAAGGCTGGACACACCAAGTTTGGTGAGGGGTTCATGAAAAAAAAGGCCACACTGTCTTTGATAGCATGCTCGCTCTTGTGATAACCCACCCACCCTCTTGATAACCATGCATTTAGTCAGTGTCCTTGTGACTTAGTCACCACCAGAGGTTCTACATTGAAGTGTCATGAGTGCATGACTTGGGGGCGGCTGTTCTTCTAACCCACAAAGTCCAGGGATGATAAAATTTCAAACCATAGTAGAACTCCATGAAAAGCTGTGAACTTCATGAGAATAGTCTGTCAGATGAAGAAACACGCTCTGAGTGGCAAAGCCCTGATCTAGCGGTGCAGTGAGATCTAGCCAGCTCACACGGGTTCTAGGAATTTCCCAGACCGGTTTCTCCTTGGCCCATGTGAGCCCCGTGGGAAGGTGTTCCCTGTTGTTTACATGGGTTGACTACTCCGAGGCTTCTGGCAAGCATCTGCCTTCCCTTCTTACAGAAGCTCCTAGACTTTCTTCTGGGCAAATCCTTCTTCCAAACCCCGGATGAAGCTGGCCCCCACCTGGGCTGTAGGCACGTTAGTCCATTTTCCTGTCCAGGGTGAAGGTGAGGTGCAGGTGTAAACGTTACAAGTATATCAAGAAAGGGCTTCCTGAAATTTCTGGGGGGAAAAAAAAGACCTGCCATTTCTCAAATCTTTCCAGGTTAGGAGGATACAGTCTGAGCTGCTGAGGCCCAACTTTCCTATATGATAAAAGCAGGGGTGAGCAAGAGACCAGAGAACTTGGTCTGAGGCCCTGGTTTCCTCCGTGCCCGGGAGCACACAACTGCACAGGCTGATGCACTTCGCAGCAGATGACGGTGCTGTTTTCAACAGCCACAGGGCTGGAAGAGCATCGTGTCTCCCTTCATAGCCCCAGATAGCCCTGCGGTGGGCTGATCAATGACTCCAGCTGGAACTGCTCACCAGTTGAGGCCAATCAGGACACACCGCCTCTCACCTGTCTGTCTAGACCTGCTCTCCTACCCCTAGGCTGGTACCCTAACTCGCGTGGTAGCCATGCCATGTCACCTAACTCTAGAGAGCCTAGGACACACACAAAGAAAAGTCACCACTAAGCTACCAGATTATTTACTCTGTGAGGGGTTGAACAAACTAGTCTTTGTTTGCTTGCTTTTGCTATGAAACAGATCCTTTGCTTTTGAAATTCAGTTGATTATTCTAATGCAATAAATCCACTGGCTTTGGCTATATACACATCATCCCAGGACAGGTTCCGAAAAGTCCGTTATTTGTGGATAGAAACTCTTTCTCTCTGAACTTATTTCAGTCCCAGCCCTTCTCTGAACCCAAGTTACTTGGTCTCAAAACAGCAGATATATGTATGGCTAAAAACCTGAAAAGAAGGAGACAGAAAGTTCAGGTTCACGATCTTCAGACCACAAATTCAGTTGCCTCATTTCCTGTCCTCAGACTCAGAGCTAACAAAGAAAAATCATAAAAGCAATTACTCTGAGAGGTGGGTGCTGGGTAAACTGGACAAGTTAAAAGTCAGCTGCCCATTATGAAGCTTTCCTTTGGGGCCAGCTATGAAGCCCTGTAATGAAAGCTTTAGCAAAGGGTAAAACAGAAGGAGAAAAGTCTAACCTGGTTTACAAAGAAAAAGTATAGTTTTGTGATAGAAGAGACATAATGGTGAGGACAAAGAAGTCCAAGGCTCACCCATGCACTGCAGCTGAATTGAGCTTTTCCCAGTTAGCCTGGCATATTTGGCTAGTCTGTTTTAGCATCTGTGTTTGCAGCTGGGCCTGCATGTCCCCTGACTTGGGGACATACTAAGAGGACAGGCAGGTGGAATAAATGGGCTGTAGACAATGGCCAAAGAAGTGTCCGGGTCAAGTCACTCTCAGACTCTAGCCCACGTCCGGGATCACAGCTATTTCCCATTCAGGGCACAGGAACCTAAAATGACATTTCACTGTCTCCTCTGCTGTCTAAATCATACACAGTTCTTCCCAGTCTCACGGAGAAGGCAGGATTATTTTCAATCTCAAAATGAGGTGATGACTAACAATAGCTTGGATGTCCAGCTTTGAGATATGGAAAGTAGGCCCCAGTGAAATGCTACTCGGGGAATTTAGGGAGGACTTCGTAGAGTCTGCAGTGGAGGTGAGAGGGTAGCTGCTCCAGAGTGAAAACCATAACAAATAAAAAGTTTACTTAGAGTACAGCTGTCAGAAGTGATCTTATTCCTGTGACAGAGCGGAAAGGAAGGAACGCGAGAGACAGAGCATTGGTGGTCAGGGAGGGCTGGCCACTGTGCTGAGCGCCGGA